AAAAGGAGATTATGCTCGGGAGTGGTGAAAACGAGGTAGAAAAGAACAAACACGGAGATAGTTAATCTGGTGTCACCGGAAAGGGGTATTTTTGCATAAGAAAAAGACACCTACCCTCACCCCCACCCCCAACCCCAACCCATAAGTTAAGTTAATGCGATCAAAATAACTTTGGGATCAATATTAGCAAAGTTTCGAGAGAAAGACTTGCTCACTGCTAGAGGAAAAGCTATCTAGAAGGGAAACCAAATGGAAGGATGCTTTTTTAAAAAATTTTCTTTATTTTTTTCTTTTTCATTAAAAAAAAAAAGTTATAAAGATAAAAGAAGGCTGCTGCATCGATTCACCAAGACTGCCCTTAGCTGAAACTTGCTTCGGTTCCACCCCAAGGAACAAAGAAAAAGAGGCAGAGCTGACGTCGGAGAGCTAAACTAGGAAACTCTGGTCTCGGTGCCGCCAGACGGGCTCCCGACGGCTCTGCGCAGGACAGGCAGCGGCGCGCAGCTGCAGGGCAGGGCGCTCCGCAGCCTAGACGCCCAAGACTGAGGTTCTGGTACCAAGTCGCTAGCCCGGGAGGGCGGGGGGAGGCCATGGGTGGGCCTACTGCCTCGCCCTCCCCACGGCGCCGCTCAACCTTGCTCAGCCTAGTTGTTACCGCACGTGCGGAGGCCCCCGGTCTCCCTGGCACTGGATCGGTCCAGCTCTACCTCCAGTGGCCGCTTTCCTCTAAAAGATGTGCCCATCAAAGCTGGGGATGACGGAGGGAGGACGAGGAGGAAAGGACCAGAATTAAAGGCCCGGCGAGGCGCTGGCTTGGGGTGTACTGGGCTCCGACAGTGTCACCCGGTGGAGAGAGACAGCCAGGGCCCAGGAGAGCAACGCATGTTACTTACATGTCCACATTCCCTTTACAAAGTTGTCACAGAGGGAGTTAAAAGAGAGAGGGACACGGACAGAAAGAGACAGAGAGAGTGAGCAGGGTGCAGTGTAGAGAGGCTGGAACTGAGGCCAGGACCCACAGGGCCCAAGCGGACCAAGGTGGGAGAGGGAAGGCGAGAGGGGCAGGAGTGGGGTGCGCGTCACTCCAGGCCGTTGCGGTGCCCAGGCTCGGGGGGCTGCAGCAGCTCCGGGGAGTGGCAGGGCGGGCTGCCCGCGGCGCTGTGCTCGCTGTCGGTGTCGCTGCCCTTCTTGCCGCCGCTGCCTGACCCCGCCGAGCCGCCGCCGCCGCCGCTGTGCGTCTTCACGTGCTTGCTGAGGTGGTCGCTGCGCATGAAGCGCTTGTTGCAGACCGGGCAGGCGAAGCGCTTCTCGCCGGTGTGGGTCCGCAGGTGCCGCTGCAGCTCATCGGAGCGCGTGAAGCGCTTGCCGCAGAAGAGCCAGTTGCACACGAAGGGCCGCTCGCCCGTGTGCCAGCGCAGGTGCGCCTTGAGGTGCGACGTCTTGCCATACACCTTGCCGCAGCCCGGGATGTGGCAGCTGTGCAGGCCCTTGCGCCGCAGGCTCGCTCCGGCCGGACCCAGCCGCTCCGCCTCCTGGCAGTTGGGGCAGTCGCAGGTGGCGCGGCCGGAGTAGCGGCGGGCCGAGCGCGCCGAGCTCCCCCCGGCGGCGGCGGCCGCGGCGCCCGAGATCATGGCGCTGGCTGCGGCGGCCGCCACGGCGGCGCTGGAGTCCGAGTAGGAGGGCAGCACCGGCTTGAAGCCGTCCATGAGGTGCTGCCCGGCGGGGCTGAGCAGGTGTGAAGAGGCGCCGCTGCTGAAGGCTGAGTGGCTCAGGCCTGAGTAATCCGAGTTGTAGCCTCCGAGCGGCGAGTGCAGCGAGGTTTGGAGCCCCCCGGCGGCGGGGTGCAGCGAGCCGGGCAGCGCCGCCGCGCCGTTCGGGTTCTGCACGTCGATCCAGCCCGCGCCCACGTCCCACCAGCTGGAGGCGCCGGCCGAGCCCACGTCGCCGGCGGCGCCCAGGCCGGGGTGCGAGGGCTTGAACCACGACTCGTATGGGTGCGCCATGCCCACGCGCGGGTAGATGCCCTGCAGCCCGTCCACAGAGGTGTGCACCTTGGAGATGAACACTGGCTGGTGGGAGCCGTCCTGCGAGTGCGCGGAGGAGCCGCCGCCGCCGCCGCCCCCGCCGCCGCCGCCCCCCGATACGCCAGGGGCCTGGAACACCGAGTAGTCGTTTGCGAAGGGAGAGCTCGAGGCGGCGGCGGCGGCTGCCGCGGCCGAGGACGAGCCGCCGTTCCTGGAGGGGCCCGACACGCCAAAGCTCGAGAGACTGGAGCCCACTACGTTGCAGCTGCCGGAGGAGGAGGACGAGGAACGTTTCCAGGGGTGGAAGCCTTTGCCGAAGGAAGATGAGCTGTCCGAGAGGGAGGAGGGAGACGGGCTGGGGCTGCCGATCTTATTACAGGTAGCAGCAAGCATGGCCAAAGGAGTCGATCCCAACCTCGGTTCTTCCTGAGAGAAGGAGAGGAGAAGGGGTGGGGGAGGGGAGGTAGGCAAAGGGCCAGTGGGGGAGGGAGGAAGGAAATGTGCATTAGTTCTCCGGTAGCCTCCAAAACGCCCCACTGCACCCCATTTCTCGCAGCGGCGCGGCGCCACCAACTCACCTGGCTCCCCCAACAGCCCCGGCGCCCGGCTGCTTTCTACTCTACGGGAGGGGACAAGTTTGGCTGCCGGCGTCTGATTCGGGAGCAAAGCGCCATGCTAAAGAAGAGTTTGACAAGTATTCTCAGCTAAAACAACACTCTTGTGCACACAAGGCCCCAGGCACTTCGAAACAAACAAGCAAGCAAAAAGTCCAGATTGGGGAGGAAGGAAGATTCCTTTGCGGAGAAGCCTGGGGAAAAACCATTGGATTGCTTTTAAGAGCGCTACCCCTGTAATCCACAGAAGAGCTTTGAAAATCCTGTTCCGGTCCCCAGAAACCTGGGTTGTTTCTCCCAGGCCAAAAGACGTCAAACTATAGGGCTGGCTCGCTCTTCCTGATTTTCTTTAAAAAAAAAAGAAGTCTACAATAGTAAAAAAGAGAAAGAGAGAGAGAGAGACGGGTTCAACGTACCTGCAAGACAAGGCGGGCTGCGGAATTTTCTAAGGGGAAGAGGGAAAATCTGCAGTTTGCCCAGGAGGAAAAACTTGCTCTCTTTACCCTCGAAATCGTCGCACGTAAAATGGGCTGGGCGCACGTCTCCCGGGCGGGGAGAGGCCGGGCGCTGCGAGGTGGCTTGTCTAAATGCCCTTCGAACCTTTTCCTGCTCTGAAAAAAGTGACTCTGCCCCCCTCTCCCCCTCTTTCTTTTCTCCAAACTCACTTGTATTTAAAGGGGGAAAAAAAGCTCTCAATAGAGACTGATAGCCCGTGGCCTGGCCGGGGCGACTTTAACCCCCTCCGATCGGCAATAAAAGGAAACTAATTAAACCAGCAAGAGAAAATCCTGAGACTCACCCCTAGAAGTGAAGTTGCCATCACACAAAAGTGCCCTCCTCCTCTCAGAGGATCTTTTTTATATTGATAAATCAGAGGCAGTGTTTTTTTTAGAGGTGTGCAATACAATGATCAGTTCCGCCCATTCCACCACAATTGTAGCTCCCTCTCCGGCTTTGAAGTGCCGCGGAGGCGCGGCCAGCCAATCTGCGGCCTCGCCGGGCCGCGCCGCGCGCGCGCCGTGAGGTCATCGGCGCCGCCGCCGGCCGCCTCGGGGGGGGGTGGGGGGGTGGTGTTCGGAGCGGGAGCGGCGCGGGTGACTGCGTGTGTGTTGCAAAGCGGTTTTGTGTGTGTATAACAGTGTAACTGTGTACAAGTGTGACCAAGCTGAGAAGAAGACAGTGCAGACAGGGATGGGATGGGGGGAGGTTGGGGGCAAGAGTCTAGCAGTGTAACAGTGACGGGGGGAGGGGAGGGACAGTGCAGAGAGGGAGAGGGGGTTGTGAGTGACAGTTTAGCTGCATGTGTGACAAAGGGGGGTAAGAGGGACGGACCGGTAAAGTGTTGAGGGGAAGGGTGTGAGTGTAGTGTAACTGTGAGTGACGAACCTCGGGAGGGAAGAGGGACAGTGCAGTAAAGTGTGCGTGGACGGGGGAGGTGGTGTCTCTGTGTTTGGTGTTGGGGGAGAGGAAGGAGTGTGAATATGGGTGTTTGTGTGAAAAGAGGGGGAGGGTGGATGAGTGTGTGTCCGCTTGATGTGGGAGAGACGAAGGCTGTGTGAATGTTTGTGTGAGAGAGAAGGGGGGAATCGTGTGTGCTTGTGTGTGTCTGTGCCACAGAACTGGGGGGTGGAGAACAGGAACAGTGCAGTAAAGTGCACATACGTAAAAGAGAGACATGGTGATTTGCAGAGTGAAACTGCGAAGTTGAGTGAGGCTGAATAAATAAATATTCAGAAACGCTATCACTGTCACCAACTTCCTCTGGTTTCCTGTAGCTCAAATCTTGCGTCATTTTTTTCCCCCTTAATTTCATGGGTACTATCACTACATTTTAAAAGAAAATCGTATTAATACCTTCCTCTCCTTTCCTGGCTCTACAGCCGAAGGGTAGAAATTTAGGGAGGCTGAGGGGTATTTTTTAAAGAGAGTTAGGGCTTGTGTGCGCCTGCGTCAAAGAGTTGTTACTTTGCTGCGGTAGCTTTTGTTTTTTCTTCTGAGGTGGGATTCGGCTTTGGAAGTGCAAGTCTCACTCTAGGGGAGAGGGTGTGTTTGTCCCGTGGCGATGAGTAAATTTCAATACAAAAGGATTAGATAGAGAAGGGGGTGGGAGAGTATTGTTTTTTCTGGGGGTGAGAAATTGAGCGTTTTATGGTATTTAGGAGTTTTCGCAGGAAATCCCGCCGCCTCTCTCTGAGAAAAAAAAAATCAGGATTTTGACTGAAATCTTTGAGTTTTATTTATCTGAGAACAGAAACAAGCTGTTGACAAATCGTGGACCACATGTATGGAGGCGTCTGTGTCTAATGGCGTTTGGGCCAGATATCTGAGTGTGTATGCATGTCAATAGTTCAAATTTGGTGGGTTTTAGAACTTGCTTGCCATTTGTGTTATTAGTTGCCTTCAGAAATGTAATTACAATTTCACTGCCACCACAAGGGAACATCATAAACTACAGAAAGCACCATACCAGTGTAACAAAAAGTCCACAGCCCTTGGAGCCCTATTGAATATTCATATGTTTAAAAAAAGTAATTCACATTTTTAAGCAGTTGCAAATGCTCCCAGAAATCTAATTTTAAATTGGAGTTGATTAAAATGATACTAGCTGAGAGAAGTGTTTTGTTTTGACTGGGGAAACATGTTAATTTTATTATTGTTTTTGAACCTTCCTCAAGTACATCACGGCTTCTGGAGATGTCAAAAAAAAAAAAAAAATCCTCCTGGGGTTTACTGAACTCCAAAGTCAGGTTGTAACATTTGTTTCATGGAGCAGAGTTGAGGCTGATGTTCCTGATATGAGAGTGTGTGTTTCTGACCCCTTTTTAACAGTGTTGGGATATTGACTGTATATCATATACATCTATTGATTAAGGGGGTAAGGTACACTCTTATACTTTGAAGTAAGTGTGAAGTAAATTAATGAACTGCTTTCTTTCTCTGAAGGCTGAGGCTTACCATAAATGTCGTGTTTCTCCCTGCAAGCCACTCTGAATGATTTTAGCGTGTTGAGAAGGCGTGACAGGCCAGCCCAGAAGGAGGAAGGGGTGGGGGAAAGGAGGGAACTCTGTTTAACAAATAAAAGAGAATTAACTTCATTGCTTTGGTCTCCTTCTATAATGATATTCATTTTAAGAACCTAATATACAGTTGTTCAAATTTGGGGTTTAATTCTAATCAATACCATCATCCTCAAAGGTGGAGAAAAAAAGGTTTGAGGGAAGACTCTCTTCTATGAATAGTTATTTATTTTATCTTTTTATCCTCCTATCTCTGGTAGGAAGTGAGGCAGGACTATTGAAAAGTTAAATACTGATTCTGAGAGTAAACAGAGGCATTAACCACTGTTTCCTTAAAAAATGCTAGGAATTAGAAAAACTCAGCATCATGTGGTTACAATTTTGAGTATCTACCTCTATGATTTCATTTATATAAATTCACTTTAGAATCATATGTAATTCTGCCTATGACAATGGATCACAGTGTTGGTATGGATTTAATGAACACACTGGATTTCTCAGTTTGCATAAGGTTGGCTCGTAGCAGATTTTCACAAAGGTTTGCACGTGCATCTTTCTTCATTATGGAAAAATATATTTATGTTTTCATATATATGTGTATTCCATTTTTAAGTTAGGTGTTTATTTTATAGTAGTAGTGTCAAAGGTTTTTTTCTCATCCTACCCCCCACCCCAAAATAAGTGGTTAGTGTTTGTCATAAGGCATAAGACAGCAGAATTTAAAAGGAAAGACAAAGAGAATTATATAATTGACCAAAAATTAAAACAACAATAATCTTGCTTCTGATTTCAGTGAAACTGGTCTTAATAGCAGCTCTTTCTCCACTTTGCAGAAGTGACTCTATTATTTTTGAATCGCCCACAGGAGGGAACATCTGTAATCCATTGCAGATAGAGCCTGTCCAGCAAAGCATTTCATGGCACATCCAGTTCAGTTTACCTTTGGTGATATTGATCACTGTTCTTGAGTATTATACCATAATAATATGGAGGTTTGGAAGGGGAAGAAAGACAGGAAGTGCAGGCTTTCTAACATTAAAAGTTTCCCCACCGCATACGAAGTTTAAGTGCTGGCAGGGAGAGGGGTAGATGGATATTCTGCTGTTTCTTGCAAACCTGTGAGATCCACTTTCAATAAAGCTAAAATCTATTAGCATTCTGTATGCATCTGCAGCATAAATTTCATTTGAATTTCAAATTTAATAAACCAGGAGGTTTTTAATCATCCTTGGTTTTATTTGTTTGATATTAACATGCTTATTGACCGGGTCTGGTGACCAGTTTGATCATTACAGGACAGCAAAAAGTTAATTAAAACGACCACAGCCCCTTAATCATATCATCTGTCTCATCCATGTCGCTCTCTTTATTACCGGTGATGATGGATAGTCTCCCAGATTAATTTCTCTGTTTCTTCGATTTGGACAACAGCTTTTGGGACCTAATTTACATCCTGGGAACAACTTGCTCAAGTATATCTAACACCTTGCAGCTACAATATACATCAACATCTCCTTAGATGGAGTGGAGAAGGCGAGCTTTTTTGGAGCCGGGTTTGAAGACTAATCAATGCTGCAATCTGGAGCTCTTACGCTTTCACAACCAAAGAAATGGAAGGTCCAAAAAAAATTAGAGGCCTTGATCCCTGCTTTTCCTTTTCGGGGAGTGGGGAATGAAATATGCCTCTGCTGTTTGGTTAAATAGATTAAAATGTGTAGCTAGAACGACAAGTAAATAAAACCATTTGTAACCATTAAGTACAAGTGGGGATTTATAGTTGAAAACATCAAAGTTATCCAGGCTTTCAAGTGTCCGGCCACACATCTACACCAAATAAGGTTTTGAACGTATTAAGTGTGGTCTGGTAAATACACAGCGCTGAAAAAGCCTAATAGGAAAAAAAAAAAGTACACATGAACTATATAGGCGCCTGTCTCTGCTGGGTACGTTTAAACCGGGCTCTTCGCATCTGAGTTTCCTGAGCGTTGGCAGGGACGCGCAACCTCTGGAAGCTGACCGGCCAGTGCCCGCTGAAGACCCAGGTGCCCTGGTGGGTGCCTCTCCCCAAATAGGGAGACAGCCCCCAATCCCTGGCCACTGTGCGGGGACCTCGTGCGCGGGCTCGTTGGCTATTAAATAAAGCCTGAAGAAGTGGGGGGAGAGAGCCGAGCGCCGCCGGCGGCTGCGGGGAGGAGCGGTCTGGGCCAGGTTGGGGGTGTCTCCTCGCCCGGAGCTCTCTAGTCAAAGT